CCTGCACCCGTGTGGGAGACCCAGAAGAAGCTCCTGGCTCCTGGCTCCTGGCTTTGGATTGGCGCAGCTCCAGCCATTGTGGCCAATTGGGGGGTGAACCAGCAGATGGAAGACCTCTCTCTCTCTCTCTCTGTCTGCCTCTCCTCTTTCTGTATAACTATGACCTTCAAATAAGTAAATAAATCTTTTTTAAAAGAATATATTGTACCAATTACTGAGAGGAATATAAAGATGAAGGGCCAGTTTTGTGGCATAGCAAATAAAGCTGCTGCCTGCAATGCCAGCAACCCACATGGGTGCCTTTTCCTGTCCCAGCTCCTGCACTTCTGATCCAGCTCCCTGCTAATGGCCTGGGAAATGTAGTGGAGGATGGCCCAAGCGTTTGGGCCCCTGCCACATACTTAGAAGACCCAGATGAATCTCCTCTCTCCTGGCTTCAGGCTGGCCCAGCCCTAGTTGTTGTGGCCATTTGGGGAGTGAACCAGCAGATGAAGGATCTCTCTCTCTCTCTCTCTCTCTCCCCATCTCTCTCTAATTCTGACTTTCAAATAAATAAATCTTAAAAAAATAAAGATAAAGATGACATTGTCCCAGCTTCAAAGAGCTTACAGTTTAGCAGGAAAGTTAAGAAACAGAAAGTCATAATATATGATAGATTGGGACAGATGCAATAAGAGCATAGGGGCCGGCGCTGTGGAGCAATGGGTTAAAGCCCTGGCCTGCAGTGCCGGCATCCCATATGGGCATCAGTTCTAGTCCTGGCTGCTCTTCTTCCGATCCGGATTCAGATTGCTGCAGCTCCGGCCGTTGTGGCCATCTGGGGAGAGAACCAGCAGATGGAAGACCTCTCTCTCTCTGTGTCTCTGCCTCTGCTTCTTTGTAACTCTGCCTTTCAAATAAATAAAATAAATCTTAAAAAAAAAAAAGAAAAAAGATATAAGAAGAGCATAAAGTAACTAAAACTATCAGAGGAGAAGAGGTACTTCCAGTTGTGGTAACTACAAAGTGTTTCATAAGGAAGACGGGATGTGAGATGACTTTGCTTGATAGGGAGAAATGGTAAAAAGAAGATCAGCAAAGGAACTGAGTGCAAAGTGTAGGTAAATTTAGGGATCCTAGGGAGCATGGAAAGTCAAATAAAATAAATAAATCTAAAAAAAAAAAGTAAAGAAAAGACAGCTACAAAGATACCAGTGGGTAGGCACCTTTAATAATCTAAGCACGGGCAGGCATTTTGTATAATGGTCAAGCTGCTGGTTAGGTTACTATCATTCCATAACAGGAGGCCTGGGTTTAAGTCTGACTCTATTACTGATTCCAGCTTTCAGCTTATGCACACCCGAGGGGCAGCAAGTGATGACTGAAGTACTTGGGTGCCTGTCATTCACGTGGGAGACCCAGACTGAGTTCTGAGTTCCTGGCTTTTACCTGGCCCAGCCCCCAGGCATTATGGACATTTTGGGGGTGATTCCAGTAGATGTCTGTCTTCATCTCTGTCTCCCTGCTTCTCAAATAAATAAATTTTAAAAAATAAAATGTAATGATGGCCTGGATTAGGGAAATGACTATTCAAAAGGAAAGGAGGACGTGAAACATTTCAGGCGCCAGCACTGTGGGGTAGTGGGTAAAGCCACTGCCTGCAGTGCTGCCATCCCATATGGGTGCCGATTTGAGTCTCAGCTGCTCCACTTCTGATCCAGCTCTCTGCTATGGCTTCGTAAAGCAGTAGAAGATGGCCAACATCCTTGGACCTCTGCACCTGCCTGGGAGATACGGAAGAAGCTCCCGGCTCCTGGCTTCGGATCGGCCCAGCTCCAGCCATTGTGGCCATCTGGGGAGTGAACCAGCGGATGGAAGACCTCTCTCTCTCTCTGTCTCTGCCTCTGCTTCTTTGTAACTCTGCCTTTCAAATAAATAAATAAAATAAGTAAATTTAAAAAAGAAACATTTAAAAAGTTTCTACATGAGCTAAGTGGATGTTTTCCCAATAAAAAGAGTTGGATTGAAACTCCCAGATTCAGAAGTAGAAAATATATTCATAAAAAATATAAATTACTCTAAACCTACTTGTACCAGGATACTAAAAGGAGACTGAATATGCTGAAATAATGGACTTGTTATTTCTGTAATTTTAGCAGAAACTTAACTTTTATTTTCACCACATGACAATTAGGGATGCACTGACCACTAGGAGACAGAGAAGATTCAAAGTATCTCAGGCAGAAGTACAACCATCCTGCTTTCCATTGTTCATCCTCTGTGCAGGTGCTACCGTAAATAGCAGCTGTCAAGGTACCTTCCACAGCGAGGTTCTTCCACTTCTCCCCAGTTATCCCTTTTCTCATCTTTATTAAGTCACCCTACCCACCACACGCATAGGAATTCAATGAAAATTTAAGAGGAGGAGTCTTTTCAGAGAGCATTAGAATTTTCTGACATTCACCTCTTTTTTGCTCACTAAAACCATGCCAGCACAGCCTGAGGGAAAAAGGAAGGGCTTGCATAGACCCAATAAGGACATTATATCCTCACATAACTTGGAGATTGGTTGGTTCCATAGACACATCAAAACAGATACTTGGGCTGGCGCCGGCAGTAGGCTAATCCTCCGCCTTGCGGCACTGGCACACCGGGTTCTAGTCCCGGTCGGGACGCCGGATTCTGTCCCAGTTGTCCCTCTTCCAGGCCAGCTCTCTGCTGTGGCCCGGGAGTGCAGTGGAGGATGGCCCAAGTGCTTGGGCCCTGCACCCCATGGGAGACCAGGAGAAGCACCTGGCTCCTGCCATCGGATAGGCGTGATGCGCCGGCCACAGCGCGCCGGCCGCGGTGGCCATTGGAGGGTGAACCAACGGCAAAAGGAAGACCTTTCTCTCTGTCTGTCTCTCTCACTGTCCACTCTGCCTGTCAAAACAACAACAACAACAACAAAAAAAACACAGATACTTGCTCATTCTTGGGAAATAAATTCTACACATTTCCTGAAATGCACAATTTAAGCATCTAAACAGCTGCTACTCTCTCCGTTTATTTTTCTGATATTTTAGGAATATTTAATAGGAGCTAATGTGTATTAAACTTTTTATCAAGCAGGAACAAACAAAATAATCTTGAAGCTACCCATCAGAATAATAATAATAATAACAATATTCAGTAATTATTATTTGTTTAATTCATCATATTCGGGGCACTGAAAGTGCCTTGCAAATAAAATGAGGACTTTTTTTTCCTTGCACTTCTCCCAAGGGGATTTCTAGCATTCTTGAAAGGCACCACGATTAATCAAGTCCTCAGGGACCAACCAACAGCAATAACATGACAGATATTGGATATTGGTTAAACTTTTTCACTATCATGTAAATAGTGTGTGTGTGTTGGGTGTGGGTATGTGTATTGGTGGGGGGAAATCATCATTTAGACACCATTCCTGGAGAGAAGGTAAGAATTAAAGATTCTTACATTTAATAAAAATCCAGAAACTAATAAAAATAGTGAAAAACTTATACTCCAGTTCTAAAATCAAAGGCAAAACTAAAGTTTCTTCACCTGGGATCCATGAATTGGGTTTGGGACCACCTATAAATCTCCTGAAAATGATGTGCAAACTTTGTGAGTTTTTAGATTTTTTTTTTCAAAAGTGTGGACTGTTTTCACAAGATTCTGATTGCAATCCTTGACTCCCAAAAAGGTTAAGAATCACTGCTTTTAAAGAAAAATGGGACGGGAGGAAGGAAGGGAGGGAGGGGAAGGGGAAAGTAGGGAGGGAGGAATAGGGAAGGCAAGAGAGGGGAGGGAAAAGAGCAAAGAAGGAAAGGGTGGAGAGGGACAGGGGTCTTTGCAAACACACTGCTCAGTTTACGAGTGGCCAGATACGTGACGCACACTCATGCACAGAGAAGAGGAAGGAAGGAGCCGACTAAAGAAGGTCCAAGGGTTGGTCTCATCAGTTCTGCTCCAGATCAAATCAACCAAATGTTTAGGAAATTAGTACATGGACATATCTATTAATGTTTAGTTTCAAAACAAATCATTATATTTGGATTTAAAGTTAACAATAGTATGATGATCTTCTTTTCAAAAGCCTCTGAGTTTTCAAACAGGTTTAGATGGCATTTTCAGAGTCCTTGGTATCAACGAAAATGCAGATGTTAATTTGTGGAAACTGGAATAAATGTGTCAAAATTTTTTCTCTAGAGTAAATTTCTGATCATTTATTTTGAAATGGCCTTCAATGAAATAGCTATGCTATTTGCAGCAATATGATTTTTATGGAGAGGAGCTATTTTAAAAAGATAAAAGGATGATAGATTTCTATATAGAGACATTTCTATATATTCAGAATACTACTGTTCCAGCACATAAAACTCAGATATAATTTCTGCACTAATTACACTGGAATACTATCCTCACTTAAAGAATAGAAACTTTTAAGTGAAACTCAATTCCTTTCATCATGTCCCTCAAACCTCATAAAGTTCTCATAATTAGATTTCACTAATAAATGCCCCTGTGTAATTCATCAACACACACCTTTTTTCTGCAAAGTGAACTCAGACAGAATCCTCTATCCTTTTTCTATGTTACAAAGGCATAAACCAACCTCCCTACATCCCTAATCTTTTTTATTCCTTAATTATTTTTAATCCCAAAGAGACATGTACATATAAATCAAAAATCCTACCATTCCCTAAGACGGTTTTCAAAATTTAACTCAGCTTCAACTAAATATCTGAAAACACAGAACAACTTCAGCCCCCAAAATATTTCATTAGCTGACAACCTGCAGAAGCATATTAAGACATAATACAAAAATTAAGCAATGAAATTAATTAATGTTTTATAAGTTGCTATAACTTGAATAAAAAGTTATTTCTTTGAATGGTTGCCTTAGATAAATGTTAGCATAGTTGCTATTTAAATTAGTACCATCTGATAAGAACTGCTTCTCTTATAAAAATATTTCCCTTTTCAATATCTTTAAAGCACTAAAAGCTTACACTTACCCCATGTTGCTTGCTTGCCCTGGTTATACCATCCTCAGACAAAGGCTCATCTGGATTCTGAATTAAGTTAAAGGTTATAAAAAGATTGAGTAGAGAGGTCTGACTTCCTCTAAAACGAGACTGTCGTATGCTAACCAGGTTTTTAAATGAGGAAAACTAGAGTCTCCTAATTACATAAGCTCCAGGTCAAATTCTAGAACCAACTAATCAAATAACTGAACAGTCTTCAGTTTCAAGGAACAAAACTGCTTTAGAGGAATGACTTAGAAAATTGAGTTCATGTACATTGAAAAGTTAATAACAATAGAAAGTTAAAGATTTTTAAATGTAAAATACATACCTTGCTACTTTAAATAATTTGAAGAAAAATACTGAGAAAAAATGTATTTTGAAGCAGTTTCTTCTCTCTAAAGTATTTGCCATAAGTTTTATATTTGTATTATATATATTTGTATATCTGTATTATATATATATTATAACTTCATCTTAACTTGTTCAGTATTTATCTACTTACAAATTCCAGTACAACAGCAATAATAGTGAATTATAAAACCATACCAGCTAATGCTAAGCAAAGCATCCAAAAATGTCCAATTTTGAAAATGCACCTTTGGACATTTATAAATAGGGTTTTTTAAAAAATTAAATAAAAAGCTATAATTATAAGGGAGTAACACAATATAATTTTCATTTAAACATTTTAAAAGGCACTTTAAGTAAAATTTAATTTGTACAACAAAAAGTATAAATATTTTTGGCAATTATATACTGAGAACCATAAATATTCACAAGATTTTAAATAAAGAAATGAAATAGAAGTTACAGGTACTATTTTTGTCAGTTTTTAAATAATAGCACTTTTGAAAAAATATTCAGATGTATGTAGACAACATATACTTTTCCAACTATTTTCAAATTATTTTACCTACAAAGTAAAGAAGCTTTCTGGGCCTAGAATATATGACAACACACCAATATGCTTTTTAAAGAAATTGAGATGTAATTCACATACCATTCACAGAATTTGACCCTTTAAAAAATGAACAATTCAGTGGTTTTTAGTAAATTCAAAAAATTGCACAACCATCACTACTGTCACTATCTGTTTCTAAAACATTTCCATCATCCCCCAGAGAAATCTCATGTGTCCCCATTCCTCCCTCCCCTGGCAACTTCTAATCTACTTTCTGTCTCTGAGGATTTGCCTATTTTGGGCATTTCAAATAAATGAAATCATACCATATATGACCTTTTATGACTGGCGCCTTTCACTTAACATAATGTTTCCAAGATTTATTCCTGTTGTAATATCAACACATCATTTTTTATAGCTGAATAATATTCCATTGTATGGACAAAACCATATTTTGTTTATTTATTAGTTAATGGACACTTGAGTTGTTTCTAGTTTGGGCTATTAGGGATGTCTTAGTCCACTTGAGCTGCTCTAACAAAATACCTTAGACTGGACAGTTTATAATCAGCAGAAATGTATTCCTCACAGTTCTAGAGGCTAAGAAGCCTGAGATGAGGGCACCACAGAGTCAGTGTTGGGCCAGGGCTTGCTCTCTTCTTTGAAGCTGGCACCATCCCGCTTTATCATCACATCTCTTTTATAAGGACACTAATCTTCATCCCAGAGGGCTCAGCCCTCGTGACCTTATCACCTACTGAAGGTCCCACTTCTTAATGCAACCACAGAGGGGATTGGTTTCAACATGAATTTTGGAAGGACACACACACTCAGACCATAGGATGAACAACGTTGGTGTGAACATTTGTGTGCAGTCAGTGCTCTTGGGTGCATACCTAGGAACTGCTGAGTCATATGACAACTCTGTATCTAACGGCTTGAGGAACTTTCTTTCACAGAGGCTGCATTATACATTTCCACCAGAAATATTCGAGGGGTCCAACCTTTCCATATCCTACCCAACTTGAGTCAGCATCCACTGCTTCCCAGGCACATTAGCAGAAAATTGGATCAGAAGCAGAGTGGCCCGGACTTGACCTAGCACTCTACGATGGGATGTGTGTGTCCTAAGCAGTGACTTAACCTTCTACAACACAACACCCATTCCTTGCTCATTTTTAAATTAGGGTGTCTATTATGGAGTTGTAAGAGTTCTTTGTATATTCTGGAAACTAGGCTTTTAACAGTGTTGATTTTTGTTTTATTTTTTTTTATTATTATTTTTTTCTGATTTGATCTTGAAGTCTGTCAGGAGTAGCCATTAGCCAAGATGCTGCTCTCAAGGAGAGCCCTGACTGGGGGAGTTAGGTTTGCATATGTTGGTCAGGTTGAACACCAGGAGAAAGTGAATACAAAAATGCATAAAATAGAAAACAACTCTCACAGATTGAGAGAGGGTAGAGAGATATGGAGGCGGCAGGGAGCTTTACCAGTGAGTGGAGAGTAAATGCAAGAAAAGACCTGTTGGGACTATGCCTTTGTTAAGGCTCATGGGTGTTATTCCTTAGGCTTCCCCTTATGGGGTTGTGGACTGACAAGTTTAAAGAAAATGTGAAGGGTGGGATTGAGACTCATTTACATGACTCATGTTGATGGCTATGTTTTATCATGGTCAGTGCCTGTGGATCTATCGGGTTTTGGGTCAGTGGGATAAGATACAAAAGGGCTATACTGCAAACACACAGGGAAGGGAAGTTTTAATGAGGCTGAACATGATGGGGTATAGGGATTTAACTTGACAGGACTGTAGCCATCTTGTACATAATTGCCATTTTGGTTCTAACCACCATCTTGCCCTTTAGGTAACATTGACATTCATCCCAAACCATATGGGGTAAACAAAGTCATTAAGGTAAAACTCCACGCTTATCTGAAGTTCTTATTCAATGCCCTGAATATCTTTCTTCTGATGCCTGGAAGGTCTTTTATGAACATTTTTTTAAAGATTTTTTTATTTATTTATTCGAAAGTCAGAGAGTTACACAGAGAGAAGAGAGGCAGAGAGAGAGAGGTCTTCCATTAGATGGTTCACTCCCCAGTTGGCCGCAATAGCTGAAGCTGCACCGATCCAAAGCCAGGAGCCAGCAGCTTCTAACGGGTCTCCCATGTGGGTGCAGGGGCCCAAAGACTTGGGCCATCTTCTACTGCTTTCTCAGGCCACAGCAAAGAGCTATATCAGAAGAGGAGCAGCTGGGACTAGAACCAGCGCCCATGTGGGATGCCGGTGCTTCCAGCCAGGGCGTTAACCTGCTGTGCCACAGCGCCGGCCCCTCTCATGAACATTAATATTTCCTGAGAAAGTCTAGCCACATTCCAGTTAGCTACAGGCCACCTACCTTTGCCTATAAAATTCTTTCTTTACTGTCTTATAGAGTGGATACCCACTGTTTTGCAGTCATCCAAGACTATAATTCTGTCCATAAGTTCCCCCCAATAAATTACATTTTGTGTTATTCTGATTTGTCTGCTTCTTTCTTCAACCTCTTGGTCAGTTCTCATGCAACACATTTTGGACAGGTATGACTGGGTTTTCAAATAACTTACATCAAGTCTAAAACTAGATGCTGAGACAACAAATATATAAACAAATTGACAGATATATAGTTTGCAGTATTTTCTCTCATTTTGTGGATTATATTTTCACTTTCTTGATCATGACCTTTAAATAGATACTTCTAAAAATATAAATGGTGAGACTGGGCATCCTGGCCTTGCTCCTGATCTCAGTGGAAAAGCTTTCAGTTTCCCACTACTGAGTATGATTTTAGCTGTGGGCTTTTCTATAGGACCCTTACTATGTTAAGGTAACTTCATACTATTCCTACTTGTTTGATGAGTTTTTAGTAATAAAATGGTGCTGGATTCTATCAAATTCTTTTTCTGCATCTATTGAGATGATTGTGTGACTTTTATCTTTTATTCTGTAAATGTGGTATATCACAACTGGTTTTCTTTTTAAAATTATTTAGTTAGTTAGTTTAATTACTTGAAAGGTAGAGACAGAGGCAAACAGAGATCACCCATCAGCCAGTTCACTTCCTAAGTGCCTGAAACAGTAGGGGCTGGACCTGGCTGAAACCAGGGGCTAGAAACTCAATCTTTGTCTCCCAGGTGAGTAGCAGGGACCCAACTACTTGAGCCATTATCTACTGTCTCTCAGGGTGCACATAAGTAGGAAGCTGGAATTGGATGCAGAACTAGGACTCAAATCTAGTACTCCAAACTGGAATGCAGACATCCCAAGTGGCATCTTAATCCTAGGCCAAACGCCCATCCCCACCATTGATTTGCATATGTTGAACCATCTTGCATTTCACTTAGGCATGGTATATGACTCTTCTATTTTCCAAATTTTTAATTTATTTTCATTTTGAGAGGCACAAAGATAGAGATAGTGTTCCTTCCATCTGCTAGTTCATTTCCAAATAAATGCAACAGTTGGGGCTGAGATAGCAGGAAGCAAGGAGGCCAGAACTCAATCCAGGCCCCCCATGTGGGTCACAGGGACCCAGAAAATTGAGCCATCAACTTCTGCCTCTCAGGGTACACAAGCTGGAAGCTGGAATCAGAATTGGAGCCAGGACTCAAACTCAGGCATTCCAATAAGTTTTGTTGGTATCCAAAGTGCCATCTTTATAACTGTTGCACCAAAAGCCCATTTATGTGGGACTCCTTGTGCTATTGGAAACATAAAGGAGATGCTTCATAGTGCTGGTATTGACAATGATTTCAGGAATATGACACCAAAAACTGAGGCAACAAAAATAAGAATGACTGAAAGGGGCAACATCAAACTAAAATCTCTTGCATAGCAAAGAAAACAATCAATAGATTTAAAAGGCAGCCTATAAAATGGGAGAAAATGTGTACAAATGATACATTTCATAAAGAGTTAATCTGAAAAATATACAAGGAATTCTGTTTACAATGCAAGAGTAAAAAAATTAATAACCCAATTAAAAATGTGCTAAGGACACGAATAGACATTTCTTCAAAGAAGACATACAAACGGCCAACAAATGTATATTAAAACAATGCTTAATGTTACTAACAATCTGAGATACAGAAACAAAAACCATATGGGGATGGCACTGTGGTACAGCAGTTAAGCCATGGCCTGCAGTGCTGGCATCCCATTTGAACACCAGGCCCAACTGCTCCATTTCCAATTCAGCTCCCTGCTAATGTACACGAGAAATCAGCAAAAGATGGTCCAAGTCTCTGGGTCCCTTCACCCACATAGGAGAAGTGGAAGAAGCTCCTGGCTCCTAGCTTTGGCCTGGCATAGCCCCAGCCATTGTGGCCATTTGGGGAGTGAACCAGCAGATGGAAGATTTCTGTTTCTCCTTCTCTGGCTCTGATACTCTTTCAAATAAGTAATCTTTTTTTAAAGATTTATTTATTTATTTTAAAGGCAGAGTCACAGAGAGGCAGCAGCAGAGAGAAAGAGAGAGAGAGGAAGAGAGAGAGAGAGAGGAAGAGAGAAAGAAGTCTTCCAACCGCTGGTTTACTCCCCAATTGGCCGCAACGGCCAGAGCTGCACCAATCAGAAGCTAGAAGCTAAGAGCTTCTTCTGGGTCTCCCACGCATGTGCAGGGGCCCAAGGACTTGGTCCATTTTCTACTGCTTTCCCAGGCCACAGCAGAGAGCTGTATCAGAAGAGGAGCAGCTGGGACTTAAACTGGCACCCATATGGGATGCTGGCACTGCAGGTGATGGCTTTACCTGCTATGCCACCACACCCGGCACCAATAAATAAATCTTTAAAAAGATCTTTAGGGCTGGCGCCACGGCTCACTTGGCTAATCCTCCGCCTGCGGCGCTGGTACCCCGGGTTCTAGTCCTGGTTGGGGCACCGGATTCTGTCCTGTTTGCTCCTCTTCCTGTCCAGCTCTCTGCTGTGGCCCGGGAAGGCAGTGGAGGATGGCCCAAGTGCTTGAGTCCCTGTACCCGCATGGGAGACCAGGAGGAAGTACCTGGCTCCTGGCTGCACTGATCCACAGTTGCCATTTGGGGGGTGAACCAGCGGGAGGAAGACCTTTCTCTCTGTCTCTCTCTCACTAACTCTGCCTGTCAAAAAAAAAAAAAATCTTTAAAAAGAAATAAAAACCACAGTGAGATACCACCTGAAGCCTGCGAGATGGTTACTACCAAAGAAGCTAAGTGTTGGTAAGGATGTGGAGAAACTGCATCCCTTCCACACTGTTGATGGGAATGTAAAATGATGTAATCACTATGAAAAGCAATATGGAGGTTCTACAAAAGAATCTATTTTTAAATAGAGCTACTATATGGTCCAGCAATCCTATTTCTGTATATTTATCCTAAAGAATGAAATCAGTATCTTGAAGAGGTATTAGCATTCATTTGTTCATGGCAGTGCTATTCAGAATAGCAAGATGTGGAAACAACCTAAATGTCCAATAATCAATAACGAAAGAAAATGTGGCATATACAATGGAATAGTATTCAGCTTTAAAAAAGAAGATTCTTCAATATAGGACAACATGAATGAGGACATTATGCTACGTGAAATAAACTGATCACGGAAGTAGAAATGTTGCGTGATTCTACTTATATGCAGTACATAAAATAGTCAAATTCATAGAATCATAGAATAGATTCATAGAATCAGCTAGAGTGAGGGAAGAAGTGAGGAGTTACTAATCAAAAGGCATAAAGTTCCAGTTAAGAGGTGAGTGTTCAGCCTACCAGTTAAAATGACCATGTCCTATATCAGAGTACCTGGGTTTGATGTCCAGCCCCAGTTTCCGTCTTCAGCTGTTAATGCAGACCATGGAAAGCAGAGGTGATAGCCTAAGTGACTGGTTCCTGTCACCTACATGAGAGAACTGGATTGAGATCTTGGCTCTCAGCTACAGTCTCAGCGCAGCTCCAGCCATTTGTATGCATTTGGAGAGCAAAAAAGCAGATAGGAGCTTTCTCTGTCTCTGTTTCTCTGCTACTCAAATAAATAAATTTAAAAAAGAATAGTCAAGAAAGTCAAGTAAACTAGAGATTTGCTGTACAACATTGTGCCTATAGTCAGCAATAAGCTACACATATGGCACCAGCATTGTGATTTAGTGGGTAAAGCTGCTGTCTGCCATGCTGGAATCCCACATGTATGCCAGTTCAAGTCATGGCTGCTCCACTTCTAATCCAGCTCCTTACTAATGTGACTGGGAAAGCTGCACAAGATGCCCAAGTACTTGGGCCCCTGCACCCACGTGGGAGACCCAGATAAAGCTCCTGGATCCTAGCTTCACCCTGACCCAACCCTGACCATAGACGTCATTTGGGGGGTAAGCCAGTAGACAGATCTCTCTCTTTCTCTCCTTCTCTCTCTAACTCTGCCTCTCAAAGAAATAAATAAATCTTTTAAAAATGTATACTTACATTTTGTTAAGTGAGTAGATCTTATGTTAAATCTTAGATTAACAACAAAAGTGCAGCAGGGAAAAATATATGCATACTTACAAACAGCAAATCAGAGAAAATTTTTTTCTTCCCAAATAAACATGCCAGCACACACTAGGAAAAAAATGATAAAACTCAGGCACGGGATTGGAAATTAACTTTGACAAGATGTGGGCAGTTCTGTATTTATTCAAGTGAGCAAACTTGAAATTGAATTGTATGGTTTATTTTAAACTATAAGATATTCAAAACAAGTTCAGAAAGAGATGAATTAGTTATGGTTTTATTGGCAAACTCATAGAGATGGTATATGAAGTTATTACAGATCACAGATTTAATTCCTTTCCTTATGACTAGAAGTTGCAATTACCACACTTAAACTTTCACGCAGAATATCTACAGGTGGAGTTTCAGCCTCAGGCCTGGAGCGGCTGTGAAATGAAAGTTACCACTCCATTCCAGTCCTTGGATATCCGTATATTCCCCTTCACCTTCCACTCTGAAACAGGAAAAAAATAAGTCTGTTTACTAACCAAGACAAAGAATTTGCAGTCCAGATATAAGATTGTCTAGCAAATTATATACCATGTGTGAAGCATTATACCTTTTCACTTTTCAAGTTTTGATTTAATAACCATTAGTATGTTTTTCATATCCTTCAAAAATCATACTATTCCAAACACTGTCATTATACAAATCTTGGTGTTTTAAAATTTATGATCATGTAGGCTAAGTTTACATAAAACCAAAACAGTCAGCTAAAAAATGAAAGTTTATGTTGGTTATCTAGCTTAATTAGTGCATTCATTTATTCAACAAATTTTTTTTTGGCTATTAATTATCTTTTAGGTGCTGTATTCTGTGCTGGTGTTTTGTTGGACTCTTCAAAGTAGTAAGACAAGCATTTCACATAAACATACCGAACTTCATCCTATAAGTTAGATCTTTCTCTCCCTTTATTAACATCAGTGGGAAAAGCTTATGTGACATTGTCAGCAACTTGTATTCAAAATAGGTGATTATCTGCCCACTTCAATATGTATTCACATCAGACCATTTCACAACAATGGTGAATCTGAAAAACTTACAGAAAGAAGGAAGGGGTATTTATAACTGCATGTGAACCTCTAGATGCATGGCATGATATTCAGTGTGAAGACTCAGCTTGTAAAGCTGTGCTCATATATCACTTCACTTTTATTTTTTCCTACAAGTCTATGCTCAGAAAGAACAACAGTGGATACATTTCTGTAAGTTAAAAATTAACTAATTTTGCTTGTATTTTAAGAATTAGCCTAGTAGGGGCTGGCTCTGTGGCACTGCAGGTAAAGCCATCAACTGTAGTATCCACATCCCATATGGGTGCTGGTTTGAGTCCCAGTTGCTCTACTTCCAATCCAGCTCCCTGATAATGTGCCTGGGAAAGTAGCAGAAGATGGCCGAAGTCCTTAGACCCCTGCACCCATGTGGGAGACCCGGATGAAGCTTCCGCTCCTGGCTTCAGCCTGGCCCAGTCCTGGCTGTGGCAGCCATTTAGGGTAGTGAACCAGGGGATGGAAGATATATCTCTCCCTCTCTCCCTCTCTCTATCTCTAGCTTTGCCTCTCCTTCTCTGTAACTCTTTCAAATAAATAAATAAATCTTTTTAAAAAATTAACCTAGTAAAAAATGTACACATACATCAGGTCAAAATGAAATAAACAATTAACCCTAGGGCTGTTTTTCAAAAAGTATATTGTAGGGGCCAGCATTGTGGCCCAGCAGGTTAAGCCACCGTCAGCAATGCCAGCATCCCATAAGAGTGCTAGTTTCAAGTCCCAGTTGCTCCACTTCCAATCCAACACCCCACTAATGTATCTGGGAAAGTAGTAGAAGAAAGTCCAAATGCTTGGGCCCCTGGCACTCATGTGGGAGACCTGAATGAAGCTCTTGGCTCCTGGCTGTCAGCCTGGTCCAGCTCCTGCCTTTGTGGCCATTTGAGAGTGAACCAGTAAATGGAAGACATCTTTGTCTGTCTGTCTGTCTCTCTCTCATATTAAATAAATAAATAAATAAATAATTCTTTTTAAAAAGTATATTATGATGATTAGTTTTAGATGTCGACTTGATTAAAGACTATCTAGAAACCTGAAAAAATATTATTTTGGGTATGTCCCTGAGGATATTTCTAAAAGTGACTAGCATGTGAATCTGAGTGGACTGAGTGAGAAAGAGGGACCCTCATTGTGGGTGGGTACCATCAATTGGCTGAGGGTATGGAGAGAATAAATACAGAAATTGAACTAGTTTCTCTCTTTCTCAGAGTTGGGACACACTTGCACCTTGCCTTGGACATTGTCTTGCTGGCAGTCAGGACTTGGGCCTCCAACTGAGACTTATACCACTGGCTTCTTGGTTCTGAGGACCACAGCTTCAGGCTGAGCCACACTATTGGCATCTCGGGGTCACCAGCCCACAGATGACCGAGTGTAGGACTCCTCAGCTGCCATACTTGTGTGAGCCAATTGCTTTAATCAATCTTCCTGGGTTGGCATCATGACGTAGTGGGTATAGCTACTGCCTGAGCTGTGGTCATCCCATATGGGTGCTGGTTCATGTCCCTGCTGCTCCTCTTCAGATCCAACTCCCTGCTAGTAGCCTGGGAAAGCAGCAGAGGATGGTCCAATGCCTGGGCCCCTTCCACCCATGTGGGAGACCTGGATGGAGATCCTGGCTCCTGGCTTCAGCTCTGGCTGTTATGGCGGAAAGATCTCTCTCTGTGTAACTCTGACTTTCAAAATAGATAAACAAATCTTTAAAAATAAATAAATAACTCCTCCTTCATTTAGCTCTATCTGTATCTCCTACTGATTCGGCTTTACTGAAGAATGATAAAAGGTATAGTAAGTCTTCAAATCAAAGTAATTTGGGGTCTATATTTTCTGAATAACTGCAATGTTTTCCACTTCCAAGCTGACTATGAAAAGTTTGACAGGAACAGGAAGGTAAGCAGGATAAATGAAAAGTCTGATGATTACCATTAAGAATGATACTCTCTTTTGGAGGCTTATTATGGTAGTCTTACAACACTTTCTTTCCCCCACTCCCACCCCAGGTCCAACAATTCTGAGAAACTAAATAGATTACAAAAGAATATTTAGTATTAACCAAATGCAATAAGCAAACATAACTGTTTAGAATCTTTTAGAATTACAGTGACTTCAAAATATACTTAAGCTTACCTATTTTCATTGAAATTTCCAGTGTACTTTGCCCCAGTTGGGAATACGTAAGTTCCCAGTCCATGAAACATATTGTCCTTAAATTGTCCTTCATATACTGCTCCTGAAAAATGCTCAAGTTTCCCAAAACCATTCATCTGTTTGTAACAAACAAAATGATCTCAGAAACTAATCTCCACACTTTCTCCAGAAACTTTCAAAAACATACACGTTATTACCTGATAAACTTTGAATCACCCTTAATGTCCATAAAACCTAAGGTGACATTTTTATCACTGTCCTTTCCTTCAACTGTATCTATCTGTGAGGTCTACTAAATCGAATGTCTCTGATTCAGGCATTGGACAACTGGGGATCCTTGATGCTAACAGGGTTCCCCAAGACACTTTGTATCAGGAATCTTGAAAAGCAACCAGTTTAGTTAGCTCAGAAAGCAGTAAAAGATATGATTCCAGAAGATGTGAGTATGCATTCTTGTTTTGTTATCTACTAGCTGGTGGAGAAACCTGAGCCCAATTTCCCTCAACTGTGAAACAGAAGTATTAAATGGCACCTACCTCATGAGGCTGGCAGAAGGATTAAAGGAGAAAATTATGTAATAGATTTAGCTTTACTCAGTGAATATCAGATAAGAAAGATGATGATGATTGGCTCTCTGCATGAGTTTAAGATCACTCACATATTAACATATATGTTCAATGTAATCATGTTATTTTTACTGTATATTCATTCTATTGTTTTTGATTAATGGTGAATGATTGTGATTATTTAACCCGTGGGGTATTTATTCACTATCAACATTAAAATAACAATAATACCTTGTCATCTTTCCAGCTCCCTGTGTAGATAATCCCATTAGGAGTGGTATGAATCCCTATTCCATTTCTCTCATAGACTCCAGAAGATGTTCTTGTACACTCACCATCTAAACAAGGGAAAAATAAAGATTGTAAATGAGTACTGAGTTTGTCTACTATTTATGTCTGGGACTAATCACAGCTGTAGCTCTATCAGTCTCTGTGGCTCCCCAGCACTAAAACCAACGAAACCAGAGATGAGATCGTGGACCTAGAAAATCTTGCACCACTGAGGCCCATGGGCCACAAGGATTGACAGATCCCACAGGTTTCCAGAGCGTATTGTCTAGACACAACACTGAAGTTCTTATTTAAAATCTTTTCTTTTATTGGGATTTCTATGTTACTTTATTTATTTAATGGAGTTAGTATTCCAATAGTAGTTATATAAAATGTGACAATCTCCTTTTCTTTATTCTTAAACTATTTAATTTTCTATATAGATTAAATAATTGAAATCCATGCTTACCATACTTGTCTCCATTTGGAAATATAAAGCTTATCTTATAAACTTCTGAAGCTGTTTTGAAAGATTTAAGAGAAGTCATATAAGTTTAATTTTTTTTACATCACAAGATCTACAATGAAATGTGCTTTAAGAGCTATACAAATAGACTCACTTCACATGATCATAAGCATATCATGATTACTAGGCATTTCCATTGTTTAGTGTAGGATCCTGGAAAATAAATAATTTTACCTAGATGATCTAGTTTTATTTATGTGTTTGTTAAAACTTTAACAACATGCAATTCATATACCACAGACTACCCTTTAAAAGAACACAATTCAACGCTTTTTAAGTACATCCAGAGTTGTATAACCATCAGATAATCTCGTGGGAATTCAATCTGAAAAAAAAAGAAACCCTTTACCATTCCCCTCACAGCCCTCACCTCCTCATGCTCCTGGGAATCACTAATCTACTTTCTGTCTCTATGTATTTGCTTATTCTGGACAGTTCTTATAAAAGGAACCACACAATATGTGGTCCTTTGGACTGATTTCTTTTAGTTAATACGTTTTCCTTTTGTTTTATTCTTAATTAATTTATTTTAAAGTCAAAATTGCTGGGCTGGCACCATGGCTCAATAGGCTAATCCTCTGCCTTGCAGCGCCAGCACCTGGGTTCTAGTCCCGGTCAGGGCGCCGGATTCTGTCCCAGTTGCTCCTCTTCCAGTGGCCCGGGAAGGCAGTGGAGGATGGCCCAAGTGCTAGGGCCCTGCACCCGCATGGGAGACCAGGAGAAGCACCTGGCTCCTGGCTTCGGATCGGCGCAGCACGCTGGCCACAGGGCACCAGCTGTAGTGGCCATTTCGGGGGTGAACCAATGGCAAAAGAAAAACCTTTCTCTCTGTCTCTCTCTCTGTCTAACTCTGCCTGTCAAAAAAAAAAAAAAAAAAAAAGAGTCAAAGTTGCAGAGAGGGTTAGACAGAGAGATTGTCCATCTGCTGGTTCACTCCTCAAATGTCTAAAATGGCCAAAGTTAGGCCAGGCCAAAACCAGGAGCCTGGAGTTTCTTCCGGGACACCCACATGAGTGCAAGGCCCCAAGGACTTGGGCCATCTTCTGCTACTTCCCCAGGTACATTAGCAGGAAGTTGGATTGGAAGTGGAACAGCCAGGACTGAAACTGGTGCCCATGTGCGATGTCAGCGCCCCAGTGGGGAGCTTTACTCACTATGCCACAGTGCCAGTCCCAATAAGTTTCAAGATTTATCCATGTATCAGTACTTCATTCTTTTTTATCACATAAAAATAGCACTGTTGTTTATCCACTCATCAGCTCATGGACAGTTGTTTCCACTTTTGGGAAATTATGAATGATTCTTCTATGAATATTGATATATAAGTTTTTGTGTGATAAGTTTTTATTTTTCTGGGTAGCCCATGTGATCTGTTGATTGTCCCACTGAGGTAAAGTGGTATGAGAAACCTCTGATTTGGCAGTAGGAATAAAAATAAATTAAGGAAGGAAGGAACGAGCGAATGCAGGAAGAAAGGAAGAAAATAAGTGGGGGAGGGCAGGGAGGTCCAAGCCATATGAGATTGGAAGAGAAACCAATGAAGAAAGAGGCATGGTGCTGTGACGTAATAGGCAAAGTTGTGCCTGTGGCATCAGCATCCCAAATGGGTGCCGGTTTGACTCCCTGCTGTTACACTTCTGATCCAGCTCCCTGCTAATGCACCTGGGAAAGCGGCAGAAAATGGCCCAAGTGCTTGGGCCCCTGTACCCAGTGGGAGACCCAAAAGAAGCTCCTGGCTCCTGGCTTTGGATCAGCCCAGCTCCAGCCATTGCAGCCATTTGGGAAGTGAGCCAGCAGATGGAAGATTTCTCTTTCTTTCTCTCGCTCTAGCTCTGCTTTTCAAATAATAAAATAAATCTTCGAAAACAAGTGAAGACAGAAGTTCACAAGACTGGGAGGAACCTATCTTAGAACCCTATGATATTTAATGGACCAAAACATTAGAAATTAATTTTTCTCAACATTGAAGAAAACATATGTATATAAGACTAATAATTCAATCTCCAGCAAAACCATCAATCTGAATTGATGGAAACTAAAGAATTTTCAAACATGGCAGAATTCAGAGTTCAGTACTTAACTTCATCTATGAAATACATGTAAGAAAATATATCAGAGATAAAAACAAATTAGGGGAAACACTTACTTAAGGTATACTAAGCTGATCTTCTGTATATTAAGATAATCGAAAATGAATCTTGATGTGAATGGAAGGGGAGAGGGAGTGGGAAAGGGGAGGGTTGTTGGTGGGAGGGACGGTATGGGGGGGGAAGCCATTGTAACCCATGAGTCGTACTTTGGAAATTTATATTCATTAAATAAAAGATAAAAAAAAAAAACAAATTAGGGGAAAATAGGAAGACAAAAACAAAATGAGAAAGCAACTAGTAAAAACATTTTAATCTATTATTGAGAAAATATTTAATAACTATTTTATATTATTAAGAATAATATTTAATCTGGGGGTGAACCAACAGAAGGAAGACCTTTCTGTCTCTTTCTCTCCCTAACTCTATCTATCAAATAAATTTTAAAAAAAGAATAATATTTCAAATAGAATCTGTAACCAAAATTCAGATAATATCAATATGGAAGTGGTAGTAAGTTAAGCCTATGCCTGAGGCACTGACAATGGAAGATGGCTTAAGTGCTTGGGCCCCTACACCCACGTGGGAGACCTGGAAGAAGCTCCTGGCTCCTGCCTTCAGATCGGTCCAGCTCCAGCTGTTGCAGCCATTTGGGGAGAGAACCAGCAGATACAAGACCTCTCTCTGTTTTTCATCTCTTTGTCTGTAACTCTGCTTCTCAAATAAATAAATAAACCTAAAAAAAAAAATAGATGCTGCTTGGAACACCTGCATCCCCTATAGAGTGCCTGGGTTCAATTCCAGCTCCACTCATGATTCCAGCTTCCTGCTAAGGGGTTCTCTGGGATGCAGCAGATGATCGTTCAAGTCATTGGGTCTGCCACTCACATGGGAGACCTGGATTGAGTTCCAGCTCCAGGCTTTAGCTTGGCCCAGCCTCAGCTATCACAGGGTAGTGGAATAAACTTTAAAATATACATATAGAGAAAGACCTCAATTACAGTAAGTCTTAGAAAAATGTAAATTTAGGTATGTTTGTTCATTTCTTTTTCTTATAATCACTATGATGTGGTTGTAGATAAAGGATGGAGCATGGAGGTACACAGAGATTGTCACGAGTGTTCATAAACTATTTACACGTCTGTAAATCTGCAGTTCCCAGAGCACAGAGGCACAGAACTTAAGTGGTCAATAATACTAACCAGATTACCAACTCTGCTGTAGTGCCCCACAGGAACCACGCCACACACACCCCCTCCTCTCTGAACACCGTGTCTTCTCTGCCTGGTTAACTACCATTCTTCCCTAGGATTTGGAAACGACAGTGCAATAATTAGGGGCTCATGCTCTGCCATCAGGCTACCTGGTTATGAATCAGGACTCCACTATTTTCTTTGGCCTGTGCAAATTACTTAATTATCTATGCTTCCGGTTCCTCATCCTTAGATGGGCAAATGAAGTAACTGCACTAAAACATGTAAAGCACTTAGGTTAGTGTCTTACTCTGTAAATATTTAGCTACAGACTCTGTCATCAAATCTTTCTCAATTCTCATCCCTTGAGTCCTCTAGGAGCCTGGAGAGTCCTCTGGGCCTATTCCCCACTAAGGAACTCCAGGTTCTAGTAAAACAATGCTTTGGTATTGGGATCCCCTAGCAATCCCGTGTCCTCCAGCCAGGGGCAGTTAAGTCAAATCTCTTTTCTCACCCTACTGCTCAGCTCAGTATTTAGCGCTACCAGGCGAATGCCTAGTGAATGAACAACACGTGGGAACCAAGTTAAACGTCCATTAAGCACAGCACTAAATGTAATCCTACAAGAAAGATGGTTCCCTATTCTTTTTTCTAAGACTTATTTATTTGAAAGTCAGAGTTACAACGAGAGAGGGAGAGGGAGAGAGAGGTCTTCCATCCACTGGTTCACTCCCCCAAATGGTTACAACCACCAGAGCTGAGCCAGGCCAAAGCCAGGAGCGAGGAGTTTCATCTGGGTCTCTCATGTGGGTGCAGGGGCCCAAATCCTTGGGCCATTTTCTCCTGCTTTCCCGGGTACATTAGCAGGGAGCTGCATCGCAAGTTGAGCAGCCAGGATTCCAACCGGTGCCCACGTGGTATGCAGGCACTGCTGACAACGATTAACCCGCTTTGCACAGCGGCGGTCCCCATGAAGGCTCCCTATTCAAAACCTCGGAGTGTTAGGACTAGAGGGGACCTTAGAGACGAGACCACCTGGTACCAGAAAGTACACTGAAGTCTACAGAGGCTGGCACCCGCCTAAAGTGTCCCAAAAACGAATTAACAGGAACCAAAGCTAGATTCCAAGTCTCCTGATTCGCAGACCAGGGGTTCTCCGCGTCCCTACTCCACCCCCTAGTGTAGACGCTCGGGAAATAAGTCACACCGTGTAGGAGTCACCTGGCGTCCTGCTCAGGAACAACGCGAATTAAAGGCTCCTTTCCCCGCCAGTGCGTCGGGAAAAGGGACACTCACTTGACGGAGAGGGGCTTGAGAGATTTTCCTGACTTTGCGATTCCCCCTGGGCCGCCAGCTCTGCGGCTTGAAGGGAACTTGGGCGCTAACAGCACGCAGAGTGCGACTCCGTTGCTAGGCGACCAGGCAACCTCTCCTCCGGAAGCGAATGCATGAGGGGGCCGAGGCTTAGCCAATCAAAAGGCGCCGGCGCTGTGTAGTTGCAGCTGGGCGGCCGCTGAGCCGCTGCTAGTACGATCCGGGAGGGTGGCGGGGCCCAGCCGGGGCTCCTGACCCCTGGGTGCCTCCTCCCGACTGCCGCCAGAGGAAGCAACGCTACAAGCCAGGTACAGCCTCCTCTTCTAAGGACAGGTGTGTGTCCGTGTGCGTGGTCTGCGAGTCGTCATGGTTGTCAGCGTGCAACCGGGCTGGCGCCTGCCTGCTCCGAAAGTGGTGGGGATCTGAGGAGCATCCCAGCACGTCCGCGGGGGTCCGTGAATCTAGCCCAGCAGGACCCCAAGCTCTGGGACTGCGCCGGGTGAAGGTTTGCACTTGAGATTGTCCACTCTGAGGCAGGAGGCCAGGAAGCAGAATGCAGGCTTGGAACGCGCTTGTGGGGCTCAGGCTCCATTTCCTGTCTCCGTCTCCATCTCGAACTGATTGACTACCTGGGGAGAGGGTTGAGGACGACGTGTGTTTTTAGGAAACTACGAGGTCTAGGTATCTGTATGGAGCTGGATATGTTGCGGTCCATCAGATATTTGCCTGGAAGGGGAGCGGTATGTAACCAGATCTGTGATACTGTTCTTGGGAGCCCAACTTGGGTGCGAAACAAAGGATTCTCTTAGAGGCTGATTTGGATCCCCGTGTCCAGGTTGAAGGAGAGTTGGAATCTTCCCAGGCTAGTTGGAATAAGTACTGAGATCTAACCTCGTGGATTATACAACTTAATTCCTCATTCTTTGGAGAACGTCTAGAGAGAGAGATTGGATACCACCATGGCCAGCAAGTCATCGTTAAAATTTTTGAAATCAGATCTCAGAACAAGTTGTAAAAGTAACATTTTCTGGGTTGGAGAGATTTTTTTTTCTTCTTCTGCATATGGTTATCCAGGTTCCCCAGCTCCCTTTTTTGAAAAGATTATTTTCCAGGACATGCTCTTGGCACCTGCGTTACAGATCAGTTGACTGTAGATGCATGTAGACAATTTGACTTTCTCCTTCCCAAGTCAGATGTCTTTTATTTCTTTCTCTTGCCTTAATGTTGCTGATTAGGAGTTCACATACTATGTTGAATACAAGTAGTGAAAGTGGTCATTCTTGTCTTGTGCCAGATCTTAGAATAAACTTGGCCTTTCCCTCATTCGGTAGGATGTTAACTGTTGGCTTGTTATATGTGGACTTTATTATATTGAAATACATCCTTCTATTTAGTATGTTCAGAATGGTTTTTTTTTTTTTTTGGAGAAGGGATGTTGGATTTCATCAGATGCCTTTTCTGCATCTATTGATGTGATCATACGATTTGGGGTCTTCATTATGTTGATGTACTGTATCATCTTTTTTGATTTGTGTATGTTGGGCCATTCCTGCATCCCTGGGATGAATATCACTTGATCATGGTGAATAATGTTTTTAATGTGCTATTGGATTCAGTCTCCTGGCATTTTGTTGAGGATATTTGCTTCTATGCTTATCAGGCATACTGATCTATTGCTTGTGTGTGTGTGTGTGTGTGTATGTCCTTGCCTATTTTTGATATCAAGGTAATGTTGGGCTTATAGAGAGAGTTTAGAAGAGATCATTTTTATTCTATTTTTTGAATATTCTTTTTTTAAAGATTTATTTATTTTATTTAAAAGTCAGAGTTACACAGAGAGAGAGAGGCAGAAAGAGAGAGCAGTCTTCATCCCATGGTTCACTCCTCAATTGGCCACAACTGCTGGAACTGTGCCGATCCGGAGCCAGGAGCTTTTTCCCAGTCTCCCACGTGGGTGCAGGGGCCCAAGGACTTGGACCATCTTCTCTACTGCTTTCCCAGGCCTTAGCAGAGAGCTGGATAGGAAGAGAAGCAGCTGGGACTAGAACTAGCACCCATATGGGTTGCCAGAGCTTCAGGCCAGGGCTTTAACCTGCTGAGCCACAGTGCCGGCCCTTATTTTTTGAATATTCTAAGAATTGTTAATTCTTTAAGTATTTGGTAGAATTCAGCAGTGAAACCATCTGATCCTGGGCTTTTCTTTGATTGGAGACTTTACTGATTCAATCTTGCCGCTCATTATTGATCTGTTTAGGTGTTCTGTTTCTTTGTGATTCAATCTTAGTAAGAAATATGTGCTCAGGAATTTGGCTATTTAAAAAAAAGATTTATTTATTTACTTGAAAGGCATAGTTACAGAGAGGCAGAGAGAGAGAGAGAGAGGTCTTCCATCCTCTGGTTCACTTCCATCCTCTGTTTTTTGGTTTTTGGTTTGTTTTTTTTTTTTTTTTTTTTTTTTTTTGGGTAGATCCAAAGCCAGTAGCCAGGAACTTCTTCTGAGTCTCCATGTAGGTGCAGGAGCCCAAGAACTTGGATCATCTTCTGCCTGTTTTCACAGCCCTTAGCAGAGGGCTGGATTGGAAGTGAAGCAGCTGGTGCTAGAATCGGTGTCCATATGGGGTGCTGGCACTGCAGGCGGTGGCTTTACCCACTCAGACCCAGAGCTGGCCCCCTGCCTATTTATTCTATCAAATTTTTTATTTTTTATTTTTATTTTTGACAGGCAGAGTGGATAGTGAGAGAGAGAGACAGAGAGAAAGGTCTTCCTTTGCCGTTGGTTCACCCTCCAAGGGCCGCCGTGGCCGGCGCGGTGCGGCCGGCACACCGCGCTGATCTGATGGCAGGAGCCAGGAGCCAGGTGCTTTTCCTGGTCTCCCATGGGGTGCAGGGCCCAAGCACCTGGGCCATCCTCCACTGCACTCCCTGGCCACAGCAGAGAGCTGGCCTGGAAGAGGGGCAACCGGGACAGAATCCGGCGCCCCGACCGGGACTAGAACCCGGTGTGCCGGCGCCGCAAGGCGGAGGATTAGCCTAGTGAGCCGCGGCGCCGGCCTGTTCACAGTAATCTTTAACAGTCCTTTGTATTTCTGTGGTATCCATCATAATATCTCCCTTTTCCTCTTTGATTTTATGTATTTAAATCTTTTTTTCAGGGCCAGCACCGTGGCTCACTTGGTTAATCCTCCACCTGCGGCGCTGGCATCCCATATGGGCACCGGCTTCTAGTCCCGGTTGCTCCTCTTCCAGTCCAGCTCTCTGCTGTGGCCCGGGAAGGCAGTGGAGGATGGCCCAAGTGCTTGGGCCCCTGCACCTACATGGGAGACCAGGAGGAAGCACCTGGCTCCTGGCTTTGGATCCGCGTAGCTCCAGCCATAGTGGCCATTTGAGGAGTGAACCAACGGAAGGAAAATCTTTCTCTCTGTCTCTCTCTATCACTGTCTAACTCTATCTGTCAAAAAAAAACAAAAAAAACAAAAAAACACTTTTTTTTCTTAGTCTTGCTAAAGGTTTGTCAATTTTATTAACTCAAAGCACCAGCTCTTCATTTCATCCATTTTTTATGTATTGTTTTTAGTCTCTGTGTCATTTATTTGTGCTTTGTGTTTTATTATTTCTTCTCTTCTACTAGTTTTTGGATTTGATTTGTTCTTATTTTTCTAGTTCTTTAAGATACAGCAGTAAGTTATTTGACTTCTTTTCTGTTTTTTTTGATGTAGGCATCAATTGCTTTGTCTGTCTCTTCTACCGCTTTTGCTGTATCCAGTGGGCTTTGGTCTGTTGTGTTCTCAATTTCATTTGTTTCAAGAAATTTTTAAATTTCCTTGATGTCTTCCTTGGTCCATTGGTTGTTGAGGAGTAAGTTGTTTAATTTCCATGTAATATATAGTTTACATAGTTTTTCTTGTTAGTAATTTCTAGTTTTATTGTTCTGTGGTCAGAAATGGTACTCAATATGATTTCTGTTTTTGTTGTTGTTTAGACCTGTTTTGTGATCTTACCATACGATCTGTCCTGGAGAATGTTCCATGTGCTGTTGAGAAGAGTGTGTTTTGCAACTGTTGATGGAATTTCTGTAGATGTCTGTTAGGTCCCGTTGATCTAGGGTGCAGTTTTTGCTTTTTTGTCTGGATGATCCGGCCGTTTGTTAAGTCCCTCTACTGTATTTAAGCCCTCTACTATTGTCTCTGACAAAGTCTATTGATAGTTATCAGTTACTTTATGTATTTTTGGTGCTTTGATATAGGGGGTGTGTGTGTGAGTATACACATATTTATATATGTTATTTCCTCTATATATTTGTTATTTTCTCTTGCTGGATTGAATTCTATATCATTATATAATGGTCTTCCTTGTTTTTATTGCTTTTGGTATAAAAATCTATTTTTGTCTAATAGAAGTATGGCTACTCCTGTTTTCTTTTGAGTCTCATTTGCAGGGAATGTCTTATTCCATTCTTTTACTTTCAGTCTATGTATATCTTTAGAGGTGAAGTGAGTTTCTTATAAGGAGCATGTAGTTGAAGTCTTGTTTTTTCATCTATTTGACCACTCTGTGTCTTTAATTGGAGAATTTAATCCATTTACATTTAAGGTAATTACTGATAGGTAAAATCTTACAACTGCCATTTTGATACTTGTTTTCTACTTTTATTGTGGCTCCTTTCTTTCTCTCTCTCTTATCCTTTATGGTGATTTTCTCTAGTATTATGTTTTGATTCCTTGTTATTATTTTTGATAAGTATATTAGTTTCCATTACTTGAACTAAAATACCTGAGAGCAGCAACTTAGGAGAGATTTATTGCAGCACATAGTTTGGAGGCTCACAGTCCAAGATTGGGCAGCCTCACCAGTCTGGCATCTGATGGAGGCTGGCCGTGGCAGAGTAGGTACACCTGAATACTCACATGGTGGCTGGAGGCAGACAGACGCAGGATGCATGACTGGCTCATATCAGCAATGCTCTCACAAAAACTACCTCCCAAGGGCAGTCCCCCAGGGACCTAAGAACTTCCAACCAGCTCCCCTCTCAGGTGCCATAGTTAGGTCAAAGCTCCACCCTTAATACATCAACTGTTTACATAAGACTAGTGTTTAAATGTCTGCATGAGTTGGAGAGCCAAACCTATTGTATACATATTGAATATATTATAGACTTTTGCTTTGTGGTTACCATGAAATGCAGAAAAAACAATAATTGGTTTCAACAAGCTATTTTAAAATGGTAGCAGCTTGACATTGATTATAAAGATAGGACAAGAAACAAAAAAGAAAACATTAAGAAATACTGATCAAGAACTCTACACATGCTTTTCATTCCTCATCACATTTTGAATTT